TTATTATTATTATTATTATTACTTTTTCTCACTGTTCACTGCACATTCTTCTTGTTCTTCTTCTTCTTCGTCGTCGTCGTCGTCCTCGTCGTCATCAAGCATAAGCTCTTCTTCTTCTTCTTCTTCTTCTTCTTCTTCTTCTTCTTCTTCTTCAGAATCTTCTTCTTCTTCCTACTCCTACTCACTGCACATTTTTCTTCTTCTTCTTTCTTCTTTCTTCTTCTCCTTCCCCTTCTTCTTCTTCGTCTTCGTCTTCGTCGTCGTCGTCGTCAAGCATAAGCGGTTTTTTTTTTTCACTTCATGGATATATAGGGGCTATTTCTGCTCTTCGAACCCCTTCTTTTTTTCTCCCCGAAGGTGAAAGCAAGAGTTCTTTTTTTTTTTGAGGCGGCCTGCCCAGCAAAAAACAGGGGCTAGTGACGGATGATGCCCTCTGTCCTCTACATGACACAAGAAAGTACCTCCATAACGGATATCATGTTTCGCTTCTTTTTTCCCGAATCATGGCTGTAGAAAAAGGGGAAAAAAAAAGAAAAAGGTTATGTTGTGCAATTGTTTTTTTTTTTTTTTTTTTTTTATGTTGTGCATATTTGCGGGCACCGCTCCTGCTCCTGGGAAGTAAGAAAGTCGATAAAACTGTTCTTTTTTCTCTTTGCTGCCGTTTCTTTTCAATTCGATGGCTTGTGGATCGATACAACGATACGCAACACCTAAAGAAACAAACAAGCGAAAAAAAAAGAAAAAGGAAAAAGAAAAGAGACAAACAAACAACAAGGTCCCAAATTTGACCAAAACTCATTCCGGCTAGATTTTTTTTTTTTTTTTTTTTTTTTTTTTTTTTTTACGGGCCCAGTGCCCAATTAGACGTCCGAGTTGCATTTAATTCAATCTACCTGCCGACGCTGCCGTAGGTGGATTGATCAGGGAGCATAACCGTTGTCATTGCCGCTCTCCGACTTGTTCGACATATTCTATCAAAGACGCTTACGGTATTCTCTCTCTTTTTTTCATTCCCGGGAAAAAGAAACGAACAAATTTTTCAAAAAAAATAATTAAAAAAAAAAATTCACCGATAGATCCCTGCGCGCCGAGAAATCATGGGGGGGGGGGGGGCAAGCAACGGAATAGCATTGACAATGGGCCTCGCTCCACTACTTTCCACATGCACAAAAGACAAAAACTACAGCGGCGTACTAAAAAAAAAACTACACTATACTCTTCTCTCAAATTCTTTTCATATTTCACTACCTACCTACCGGGATAGAGCATTTTCAGGACTTCCAGATGATTATCGTGCAATAAGCTGTCGTTGGTCAGGGGGGAAAATCAACAGAAGCTGATTGGTCAGAACCACTCCTTCGACCTCGTTTTTTTTTTTTTTTTTTTTTTTTTTTTTTAACCGGGGTTTGCTAGTGGTGCTGGTAAGAGCAGACACCCCTAGCAAAACTCCAGTCTATTTGAGGGGAGCGACACCTGACATCAGCACTATATGCAATGTATCGGATCCCATTCACGGCCAGACCTGTATGCATCAGGCCGCAATTGAGTCCAGAAACAAGTAACAAAGTGCTAGTGTCAGTATAGCCTGAGGGACTGTCGGACGCTCATGACAAAAGAGAAAAAAAAAAAAAAAAAAAAACTCTTTTGATTTTTCTGAAAAAGGTTGTTCAAAATTAAATTCAATTGCGAATTTGGAACCATAGGGTCTGTTGCACTACTCGCCGGCCGCCAAGATTTCGAATGCATCTGCGCAAGGAGTTGTCCAGATGCATTCAAAATGTCGGCGGCGGATGGCGAGTGGTGCAACTAGTCCCACAGAGAGAAGGCGATGAACATGGCCGCCGCCGTTTCAAAAATGAGACACGCATAAATCGAAAAATGGCCCCTTTTTCATGTTATTCTGAAAGGGGGGAAGGGGGGGGGGGGGGGAAGTTGGGAGGTCGATTTCTTCACTGTTCTGGCAGCATCTGCTGCTATCGGATCGTTCGAGATCCGATGGCTGGATAGCACCACTCCGTCATTTATTTATTTATTATTTTTTTTGCAAAATAACAGCTTTGCAATTCAATTGTCATAATGAAAAGCACAAGTCTGTCATTCCTGGGTGACACCACTCCATTTTTCCGTATTTGCCATTTGGTCCTTTTTCCATGTCCAAACAATAATAAACGAACCTGTCGCGCAGGCTCAGCCATACGCCAATCCCGCTGCTAAATTCTCCCGGGGGCAAGTCCCACTAGCAGCGTTGAGCTACCTCAACGCCTGAATCTGGACGCTTTTGCGGAGATGTGCAGAAATGGTGTTGAGTTTGCTGAAATGCACGTCTCCACAAATACGTCCAGATTCAGGCGTTGAGGTAGTTCAACGCTGCTAGTGGGACTCCGCCGCCGCAAGGTCATCAACAGCCATTCATCAGCGTAGAGAACTAGTCCTTTTTTCCATACTTTTGCATTCCACTGTTTTTTCTTACAAATTAAAAAAAAAAAAAAACGGAAGACGTCCCTCCCAAGTGCAAGTGTCACACTCGTCAAACCGCTGCTCCATGGTCAAAAAAAAAAAAAAAAAAAAACGCTGCTCCATGGTTGTTAGCTTCTAGGGCGCAAAGCACTTCCTTTTCCTTTTCCTTTTCCTTTTTTTTTTTTTTCCCTTTCCGAATTCTCCGTGGACTGGCAAGCAAGAATTCCAAATTTGCATTGCTCTGCATTGTCTGCCAAAAAAAAAAAAAAAAAAAAAAATCCAAAATGCAAACAACGAATAGCACTCACGCCCTTTGTACCCTCTGTGCTTCTCAAACATTTTACTCATTCATTTCTTTTTTTTATCATTTGGATCTTGACTCGCATTTCCGTTTCGACTCTACCGGTAGTCATTCGTGCGCGGGGAAGGGCCTCGCCACACCACTCTCGAAATGTGAAAGAGACAAAAATGTGGCGGGTGCATCTGGCCATGTTCTAGCGGGAAGTTCATTCTCATTTTGCACATTTCGAGAGTGGTGTGGCGATGCCCTTAGGCTTCTGTTCCCAGCGTGTTCGCATGTGCTTTTGAGTCATTTTCCCTTTTTGTCGCCGTCAAGGAAAAACGCTCCTTTGCAGATTGGGATTCAAAATGTGTGATCTCCCCGCTCTATATGTGCGTCATTCCCTCGTCAGAGAATTTGCAATACGATTTTGGGAGCAACACGTGTTCGGATCGTCTGCGCTTGTTGAGTCCTGCAGCGTCAAATTTCCCCGCCGAGTAATAGGATTCGTTCTTAGGGAACAAGCTACGCACGATCGAGTACTTGGCAACTTTACGCATCAGGTCACAACTCTCGGCGTGCGTACTCTCTGCACCGATACGCCTCCACACTCGTTCATCTACATTGTTTTCACGAGATGCATCAACATTTACTTTCGTTACGCGACCAGCAACCGTCGCATCTCTCTCTCTCTCTCTCTCTCTCTCTCTCTCTCCTGTCTCTTATACACATCTAGATGTGTATAAGAG